GGAGAACATCGTTCATGGAATTAAGTGCAAATAAATAAGAAAAAATTCTTTGTTGGGTGTAGAATTGGAGAACCTTAAGGCTGACAGACTAAAATCTTCAATTTGGTCTTATTGTTTAAAAACTGGAGCGAGAGCTAGCCTTCCGGTGAAGGAAAGTGGGAGCGTGGGAGTTGGAGCCGATATCCTCCTAGCCTAGCCATGGATTTAGAGACTAAATACTGAGATTAGCCAATGATTTTCTATGCACTGTATCAAGGTAAAGAATTAAAATTGCTCCTACTTGGCACAATACATAGTATGAACATTTATCTCATCTCATTTTACCATAGCTTCATTGTAGTGGGAAGGATGCTTTTTCACATAAAAATCTTTGTTACATAAACATAGTTAATAGATTAGTATTTACTATTTTAAACTTTACATTTTTTATTTAATAATAGTTTAGAAATTTAATTTTAATTAATCTCAACAATTGAAATTAGTGAGAGTGATTTCAGTTGACTTTCTGTGAAATTCCTAGCAAATTTATCATTTTTAATTTAAACCTTCCTCATGAGATCGATATTTGGGGCTTAAATAGAAAGTCCATTATTACTTGATAACGATACGTATACTTGCGTAGAATCACTTGCGTAGAATCCAGCGTAGAATCCAAATATTAATTGATTATACTCATTTAAATTTTACACAATTTATCGCAACAAAAAAATCGGATCACTTACTAATAAATTTTTCATGAAACTCTTTTTCAAATGGACATTCTAAGTATCTTTGACATGACAAATTATAATTTATCTTGAATTGAATAAAAAATCAGAAATCTTAGACTTGACTATTAGGTGTTCTTATACTTTTAGTTTTAGCCTAAGTTATTAAAAAAAAATTTAACTTATATTATTATATTTATTAAACCAAATTAAGAACTTGATAAGTTAATCTCTATCATAAGTCATATTTTTATGTAGTAAAAGAGTTAATTAAAGACAAGTAACATTTAAGTTTTCGGGATTTTGATACACAAAAAAATGGGCAATTTTATGTATATATTTTATGCTTAAATTTGGTGATATTTCACTTGAAAGAAGAATATTTTTATGTTTTGTTATATGTATATTGATTTTAGGCATTTGGAGTAAGAAGAAGCAAAAAAGAAGAAATTTAGAGTCAAAACACTGTTTTTCAGCATACTAGCGCCAGAGACGCCATTTTTTAAAGAAGCGGCACCGAACTGGCGCCAGAATCTAGAGAGGAGTGTTGAACATCAGTAAGCAGGCGCCAGAGGCACCAGAGATGGATCTAAATGAGTTGTTGGTGGTTATTGACGATTTTTTAGATGTTCTAGAAGGCTCTAAGTAATTCAAACGCCCCATGGTATGGTTGAATGCATATAGACTCTAGAGGAGGGCTCTTGAATGAAGCGATATGTCCCTTGGATGAGGGGATTTGTCTTTTGGTGTGAAGAGGTGTGTCTCTTGGGAAAAAAGAAGGAATTTTTTAGCTTCTTTATAGAAGAGGGGTTGGTGCCACTCTTAAGAAGTCTAGTGAGGTCATGGAGTGTGTAGCATGTGGATTCCTTGGAGGAGAGTAGAGAGTTAGGTTTTGGAGAGGATTTTCTTCTAGAGATTGTAAGAGGAGAGTAAAGGTGAGAAATTTCTTCTTCATTACATTTCAAAGAGAGAAATGGGTGTGTGTAAAAAGAGAAAGTGCTTCAAGTGAACTTCAAAAGATTTGCTTGCAGAGGAGTGTGAGATAAGTTGTGTTCTTTCCTTTCGTTGTTCTGCAAACTTGTTTTTATATATAAAACCCATGTATTGTCTTATCTCCTCATAATATATGTGTAGTCTTCTTTATCCTTCTCCCTACAATGGGATATGATTTTGTGAAGAATGAATATTTTTGTGCAAAATTTTAAATGTCAATAAATTTTGATGATTAAACCGCTGATATTCATTTACTTTTTTATCTACCCAATTGAAATGTGAAAATTTGTTGAGAAATATTAGATCCGATAAATCTATGCTTTCAACAACAAGGTGAGAGTCACATTCAATTTCAAGGATGAGAATATTGTTCAAGGGGTTGAGTGTAAATAAATAAGGAAATATATTTTGATAGGCGTAGAATTTGAGATTTTAGGCTAACAAACTAAACTCCCCAATTTTGTCTCATTGCTTAGAAATTAAAGCGAGATTGTTAGCCCTCAGATGAAGGGGAAGTGGAAGCTCAGAAGTGGGAGCCAGTATCCTCTCAACCTAATCATGGATTTAGGGACAAAACACTGGATTAGCCAATATTTTTTGTACACTCGAGAGATGGTTAAGAATAGGATTGCTCCTATTGGCACAATATAATTTTATATAATTTTAAATGATTTTAATTACTTCTAACCATAAACTCATTGTAAAAGGGAAGGATGGTTTCTTAAATTTGAACTCTTCATTACAAAACCTTATTTAGTCATAGTAAGTTTAACTTTGAAGTTTAGAAATTAGCTTACTAATATTTATAGTTACTTAGTTATAGTTCTAAATGTTAAGTTTAGAAGTTTAGAAAATTTGTTATAGTTCATTTAGCGTGCAATAAATTTACTTTAGATTTGCTTTTCTTTCTTAAGTTTTTATGGCTAGAACATTGTGTTTCATGTTATAACCATAAGAATTTCTACCTCCGTGTGAGATTGATACTTGGACACAATTAGAGCTCTTTATTACTTGAGCGATATATATACTTACGTAATTACTAGAATGACAGCTTAAAGGTTTTAAAATATAAAACTATTTATACGGAAGTGATTTTTATTGTGACTGATCTGCATATTTACTACTTGTACTATCGTGTGTGTTTTGTTGCACTGAAAGATATTTACAATGCATACATAAAATCTGCATCAAGAATCAAAGACTATAATCTCCATAATAGAGTGGATTGAACAAAAGGACATTTTAAAGAAAAAGAATTTTAAAAAATAATGAACAAGCAAGGCTAGAACTTCTCATACCAAAGATTTGACCCCACTTAAACGTTGTAAATGAAACCTCGCCTCAACTTTCTCATCTGCCTTGATCGGTGGCAGAGCATTGATGGTTCCTTGCACCTTGAGCAGCACTGCAGTTCTAGTAGCTCCCTATGTGACCCAATTGACAGGCAGGGTTTAAGTTTCGATAAGAGGTAAGACTAAAAATTTGTTAGGCAAATCGTCAGATCATCCCCAACCTCTGCTCGAGTAGCTTCCCACTGACAGCCACTAAGAAAACCAATCACCCCACCTAATCTTATAGATCAACCGTTTTCAAATTTTTTACAACCACCTTCTTCTTATTCTCACCCTTCAACTGAGACTTTGCTTTTAACTTTCATAAGGCCTTAAGTTACGTAACCCTGTCATACGATTTAGACCATGATGAAGCTTCATTCTCAATGCTAGTGTTTGGAGTTTAGTCAACCCAAGTAAAAGGAGAAGGGAGAAGACAAGAGGATCCTTCTCACACCTATTTATAGAAACACAAGACATAAATGTCAAGGGAGTTCTATTATTGAATCATTGATTTGTCATAAATGAAATTTACTATTTACATTAAATTCTCTTGCTCTTATTGTAGCACGGCTTCAAAAAAGTAAGAGAATTAAAGAACTAAATAAGTATACAAGAAAAGTGCCAACACAAATCTTAAGAAGATCTGACGGTACAGATGAGACAAGGCATAACAAATGAGGGCAAACAAATAAGAGACCTGAAGGCCCAATTTTCTAACTGGACATGTCAAGATCAAGGCAAACTAAGGCAACTGATTTGCTCGAACTTAAGAAGATTGGCCAAAAGCAATGAATAAAGGGATCCAAAATATTTCCCCAAATGAAACCAACCCAAAGGGAGAAGATAACCACTTGGGTTGTGTAATTCTATGGAAGACACCCTACATTCTCCCTGAACAACATCAATGATCAATAAGGCAGGTCTCATCCAACCTTCAAGATCTCTTCCTCTAATGACGACTAATTGATCAATAAGACTCAATCGACCAGGTCATCCTTGCCAAACCCTTGCCAATAGGAGATAGTTTCATCATTAACGCATATCGAACCTTGTTGACCTGCTAAGCATAACAAGGTCTCATTAGTTGAGCTGATCAACAACACTTATCAAGGTCTCGCCAGTCTAGCTAGATGAGCTAGAAAGTAATAATTTTGTGGGCCCTTATACAAAAAATACATAAAATAACCTAGATACTGCCAACAAAAGAAATGTCATAACTATAACTTCACATATTATACTTCCATATAATTATAAATAGGTGATTATTTTATGAATATAAGTTAATACAATTGCTATAAATTATTGTTCATTGCTGGTGCACTTTCCTCTCTCTCTCTCTCTCTCTCTCTCTCTCTCTCTCACACCTAATAAATTCAGATTCAACAGTCCTGCTTTTGATGGTCATGCATTCCTTTCATGAGGCCATTTTTCTGACACATTACTTGCTCCAAGTCGTCAACATCATTTTATTATACAATTCCTACATATTAATATATCTAACTTATAAAAATTGGTACTTATTTTTATAGCATTTTTTGTTTCATAAATTTGTGAATGAAAACGTGCATATATATTTTTTTTTAAATAGTTAACAATAATTTTTTTTTAATTTAAAATTAAAAAACTAAGTAATATTTATGTAAAATGAAAGTATGTAATATATATATAAATATATGTAAATTACTGGAATTTGTACATGAATACAACATATATAAAAGTAAGTAACGTAAGAATAAACTGAACGTAATTGGGATAATCAGAGCCGTGCATCTCTATTACACCTAAATTCTACTTTTTAAATTTATACCACCTAAATCTTTCATATCACATGTTTAAAATGTAAATTACATCATTGTATGTGTAGGTAAGATGGCATAAATATAAAAGTTGAAGTATATGTAAATACAAATGAATTAAGTGGTGTGTATGTAAATCTTGCAAAAAAAAAAATACATTAATCCTCCGCTCTCCTAACGCATCTCTTCTAATCCGCTGCGCACGTAGCTTTCTAACGCCACGCCATACTCCCCTTCGCATTCCCTTGCTCTTCTACTCCATTGATGCTACTCCGTTTTTCTCTTTTACTCTTTCTCCTCCTAGTTATTATTACCTAACTATGGCTTCGGAATCATGGCTTAGAAAATTCAAATCCGCCGCAGCCATAAACCTAGCCGACCTCTTCCATCCCAAGGGAAATGTCTCAATCCTCGCCTTCGAGATTGCCGGCCTTATGTCGAAGCTTCTTCATCTCTGGCGCTCCCTCTCCGACGACAGTCTCATCTGCCTCCGCAACGAGACCATTACACTTCCTGGCGTTCGCAAGCTCGTTTCAGATGACGATGCCTTTCTAATCGCCCTCGCATGCGCAGAGCTCATGGATGGAGTTCGCTCCGCCGCGGCCTCCACATCTGATCTTTGTCGCCGCTGCGCCGACCCAGCTCTGCGCCAGTTCTTCTGTCTGTTTAAGGACTTCAGTGATTCCGGCAGCGACCCGTTCCGCTGGGTGATGACTTGGAAAGAAATGCAGGCAAAGGCAAAGAAGATGGAGGGATATGTCGCTTCTGCGGCCGCGTTATATAAAGAGATGGATGAGCTCGCCGAAGCGGATCGCGGCCTGGGAAGGCCTTCGAAAGCCGAGGTAAACATGTAAATGGACAGTTACTGTCAGAAATCTAAAACATAAGAATTGTGTAATATGTTATATGTGTACAAATTTTTCCATTGTTAATCATATTTTTAAAATTAATATTATATGTAAATTTTAGATGTACTTGATCTTAAGCCCTAAGTGATAATTTTTGGACTTTAATAAAAAATATATAACTTTTAGATTTAGTGATAAAACATATTACTACATATAAATCATGCTTAAATTTAATCACAATATTTAAATTAAAAATAATAATCATTTTTTGAAAACTATACTTAATATATATATTGTATCCAAATTATTAAATTATTGTCAATAATATAGATTTTAAAATCAAAATCATATTACTCTTAAGTTTAATCTTTTAATCAAGATGTCCTAAATTAAAAAATCTGTTTATTTTATATCTATGTTTGAATTTTAATTTATTAAAAATTTTCATTTGTCTATCTATCTATATATATATATTGTCATGCACCCGCTTGTTGGTTGACATCTACAATATAAGACCTCTTAAGTTGAGGGTTCGAATCCTCTCTAGCACAGTTAGCTTTAAGGAGAAGCTACTTGAATTGTTAGATATATTAGGGATGAGGGAAGACTCGTATAATAGCCTGTCGTCGTTCCTTTTGTATATATATA